ATCACCATGGCCGTGACCTCCTCGGCGCTGCTCCCGTCCTCTCCCGAGGGCTGGTGCTCTGCCCCCAGCCACTCCTCCAGGTTCTCGGTTTTGATGCGCACTCCGCCCAGCACCCGCACGTCGTCGTCGCTCCGGGCCCCGCGCTCTCCCATCCCCGTCTCCACGTACCACTGTCCCGCCCTGTTAATCCGCAGGATGGGCTCCCTGCCTTCCACATCCGAGCTCTGCTCAATGATCTGGGGGCTGGTGGACTCCTCGGGCGGGCTGAGCTCCCGGATGTCCAGCACTGTGCTCACCTGGCCCAGCCGGCTCCCCTTCGGGGTGTTGTGGTGTGGGCTCAGGGAACGGTTCAGGGTTGGTGTCACCCGGTGAGACTCAGGCGGTCTCTCCTGATGCTTCGTCCTGGTCTGGCTCAACTCCGCCTCCACCTCTGCAACGTTGATTTTGAAGTGAATCCCCTCAAGGATCTGCGTGCACTTGTCTATGATGTGCTGCATCTGCAGGAAGCTGGCGGCTGTTAGGTAGCTGATGATGTCGGCCAGCTGCAGGCAGATCCTGCCTGTGTAGCAGAAGGAGAGGAGCTGCTCGAAGACAGAAGGGTTCTTGATGACAGAGATGGACACGGTGCTCATCTCGTTGAGGGACATGTGGTCGCGGAAGTAGGGCGAGCTGGCCGCCAGCACCACCTTGTGCGCGCGGAATGCCTGGCCCTGCACGTTGACCACGATGTCGCACAGTCGGCCCTGCATGCGCAGCTGGTTCAGGTGGCTCAGGACAGAGTTACTGAAGTCAGGAATCTCCAGCTGAATGTTCCCGCTCTTCTCCATGGCTGTCCCGGTTGCAGGTGCACGACTGCGCTGGAAAAGGGGGAAGAGACACCGTCATTAGCAGAGCCAGCCTGTCATTTGCATTTAGAACCTTTTTTACCTGCTGCCACATGGGATTTTTAGAGACCTCTCTCCCCACTGAATTGCCCCACACCTGGCAGGGCTCTGTGCTCTCTACGTGCTGTGCAAACCACCCTGCACCAGCGTTCTGCTAAACCAGCCCCTCAGAGACCCCCAGTCCCTACTGGCGCTTCGGCGCCCAAAGAACTTCGCTCTGTCAGCCTCAATTAAAGCACACCTGCATTGTAAAAAGAACATAAAAAATGGTTCAGGTACTAAAAATAGGCAGCTGATTGCATAATGGATTAAAATACTCAGCACTTGTACCTTCTAAGCACTTTGAAAAGGGAAAGTAATATTGTTATGCCTCCTTCGTACAACAGGAATCAGGAAGGAGACACCTGGACCTAAATCCTCCTGAGACTTCTGAAAAGCTGGCTGGCATACATCTGACCTCGAGACATCTTAAGGGCGTCGTTAATCCCAAGATATCCATCATATGTGACACTTCTGACACATGCCAGAAAATATATAACGGGAGGGTGAAAGAAAAAGGTGTGGCCCAGGAGAGTCAAAGGGCCTCACTCAGGACCACTGTTTGTAGGGTCACAAGGCCACAGACTTTGGTCATCACCAATTTCCCATCCTGGCCATATCCCAAGTCCGTAAGTCCTGGGCTCTTTCCCAAAGCACAGTAACAACGGGACTGTTCCACTCGGGCTGCAATCCCCAGCGGTGCCGTTCCGCCCGGACGGCGATCCAGGTCAATGGTTTACCGAGGCTCCCAAGGATAACGGCTCATCCTTTGTTCCCCACCTTGGCTGGGATGTTCCTGGTTGTTCCCACCTGCACCACCCAGCAGCTCCTGGCAGGATCAGGGAGCACCTCCCCGCCCAGCTGGTGCAGTCAGGGGACACTTCACCGCTCAGCGGGTCCGTCAAGGCTTATCAGGAGCTTCCAAGGTGTTTCCAGCAGGGCCAGGGATGAGGGGATGCACCACCACATCATCACACTGCATTTTGGCAGTTTGAAAAGGAGCCCTGACCATATATGGTAAAAATTTGGAATGATCCAAAATTAGATGTAAACTCACCCCCCCAAAAAAAGAAAGTAAATAAGCTTGTTAAAGCCCATTCATGGCGTGAGCGGCTTCCAAGCTGGATGGCACCTGAAGTGAGGATTGAGCAGAGTGCTGCAGGTATAAATACCACTTCAGGCAGGCTGAGAATACTGAGGCTGATAGTGCCTACTCCAAGGAATCCCAGAATTAAGGCTTCTTCTCACGTTCTCCTGTCACAGAATTGTGGAATGCTTTGGGTGGGAAGGGACCTTAATGACCATCTCATCCCACCCCCTGCCATGGGTGGGACACCTTCCACTAGCCCAGGTTGCTCCAAGCCCCGTCCAACCTGGCCTTGGCACTTCCACAGCTTCTCTGGGCAACCTGTGCCAGAGCCTCACCAATTCTTCCCAATATCCCATCTAACCCTGCCCTCTGTCAGTGGGAAGCCATTCCCCCTTGTTCTGTCACTCAGGTCCTTGTAAACAGTCCCTCTCCATTTTTCCTGTAAGTTCCCTTCAGGCCCTGAAGGCCACAATCAGGTCACGTCAGAGCCTTCTCTCTTCCAGGCTGAACAATCCCAACTCTCCCAGCCTTTCTTCCCAGCAGAGCTGCTCCAGCCCTCTGATCACCTTGGTGTCCCTCCTCTGGACTCACTCCAACAGGTTGATGTTCTTCCCTATCTTTAGGAGATAAAACCCCCTCAGACCCAAGGAGCTACAGTGCACAATTCCACAGTGCTGGGAGCAGCACTTCAAACACACAAAGCCAGGGGAAACAGGAACCCCAGTGTCTTACCTGGAGCGCTGTGAGTTACATGCAGGGGGGGAGGAACTGGGGGTACTGCCTTCTTGTTCTCCTTTTTCCTTCTGATGTAGTGAGAAGGTTTGGAAGCTTGTTGCCCCCTTCCCCTTGAGAGGGTAAAAAAAGAAAGGAAAAATGAAGCACGGAGGAATTGTGTGCTCTCGAGCATGGCCATGGATGTCAGGCTTTGTCATTCCTGGTTTGCCACCTTCCCAAAACACCTGTTCCTAAAGCAATAAGCCCCAGAGCATTCCCTTGAGGCAGGGAAGCAAAGGCAATGGTGAAACAATCCACAAGCACCCAGGGAGACGAGGCAGTGGCAGAGGCTGAGCTCAGGAGGTACAGGAAGGGAAGGGTAAAAACAGCAATCAGACCTCAACTGGCTGGGTATGGCCCTGCTCTGAGGGCAGCTGCTCCCAGGGGAGCCCAAAAAAATTATCTGTGAGCTCCTGCTCCAAAAGTAGGGAAAATCCATCAGCCCTTTATGGCAGGAGGAGAAGACCTCTGGAGCTTTGCCCAACTCAGAATGGGGGAACCTGCATTTCATGAGGCACTTTATGTTTTATACACTTTGGGGAACATCCTCAGAGGCTGGAGAGGGGGAATCTGTGGGCTTGGTTCAAACTCCCCTGTCAGGGCGATTTCTGTGCCCCCAGGTAGGGGGTCTCTCATCAGCTTCTGCACCTCAGCAATAACATCCCAATTTCTGTCTTCCCTGGGAAGTCCATCACCTGCACACACCTTTCCCTCAGGGCTGAGCATCAGCACAGGGCACACATTGGGACACTCAGCAGCTTTCAATGCAATCTGAAGTGTCACCAGCTTGGACTTGGCCTTTACTTATCTCAGCAAATGCCTTTCCCTGTGTGAGGCAGCTCCTGAGAACAGAAATTCTCACTTCATCAGGGAAAAGGCAGAGGCAGATCCCCCACAGCAGATGGTGATCACTGTGAATGGCCCTTGTCAGGCACTCGCCCCAGGCACAGAGGGACTGAAAACTCATCTTTTGGGCTCAGATCTACCACGACTGGGCAACTTCACAGAATTTGGAAGGGACCCACAAGGACTATCGAGTCCAACCCCTGGCCCTGCACAGACACCCCAACAATCTCCCCCTGTCCCTCAGAGCATTATCCAAACCCTCCTGGAGCTCTGGCAGCCTTGGGGCTGTGCCCACTGCCCTGGGGAGCCTGGGCAGTGCCCAACCACCCTCTAGGGGAAGAACTTTTTCCCCAGATCCAACCTAAACCTCCCCTGACACAGCTCCAGCCATTCCCTCGGGTCCTGTCACTGCTCACCAGAAACAACTTAGAATACCAGAATACCAGAATGGTTTGGGTTGGAAGGGACTTTAAAGCCCATCCAGTCCCACCCCCTGCCATGGGCAGGGACACCTTCCACTAGCCCAGGTTGCTCCAAGTCCCGTCCAACCTGGCCTTGGACACTCCCAGGGATGGGGCAGCCACAGCTTCTCTGGGCAACCTGTGCCAGGGCCTCACCACCCTCACAGGGAGGAATTCCTTCCCAATATCCAAACCCAACGCGACTCGGCTCCTCCCAGATCCCAGCGGGACTTCTCTCGACTCCCCGTCCGGCCCGACCCCCGGCGGTGTCCCCCCCGGCGCTGCAGGGCTCTCGGTGCCGCTGTCCCCGGCGCTGCCCCTCGGCCCGCCATGGCCGTGACAGCGGCACCCGGACCCCCGAGCGGGGGCACAGCCCGGCCCGCCCTGCGCTCCCCCCCGCCGCGCTGAGGGGCGGCGGCCGCGCCCCGGCCCCGCCCGTCCCCCCGTGCCCCCCGGGCCGTCCTGGGGCCGTCCCGGAGCTCTCCTCGGGGCCGTCTCCGCCCGCCCCTCCCCGGACCGGGCTCACCTGCCGGGGGTGGGAAGGGCCCGCAGCGCCGGCCCGGAACCGAAACGCGCCAGCGCGGGCCGCGCCCCGGAAGGAAACGCCGTGCGGACCGTGCGCCCGCGCACCGCCCCCGCCCGCGGGGTGTGCCCAGAGGGGGTGGGGCCGCGCAAAGTCACGTGATTGCCAACCCTATATAAAGGCCGCGCGGGAGGCTTGCGGTCTCTTTGTTCCTGAGGCGCGGAGGGGTGGGAGGGCTTCGTGCGGCCCCCGCGGTGAGTGCGCGCTTGTTCTACCCCCGGGGTGGGCCGGCGGGGCGCTGCGGGGACCCTCGGGGTGCGGTGGGGTCCCCGATGAGCGCTGGAGCGGGAGGATGGGGGTGGATTGCGCCGCCGGGCCTAGGCCGCTGGTACTGTGCCTCGTGGCGACCTCGGCGCTGTGCGAGCGGGGTCCCATGGGGGCCCCCACGGGTTTGGGGGTATCAACTTGGAGGTGCAGGGTGATACACGAGGAGCTGAGTTGTGGGGTCTTTCCCAGGAGCCCTTTTTCCGTGGGAAACGCGCCTGGCATGTGGCAGTGTGGGATGGGCCCGCTGCAAATGTAAGCATTACGGATCCCTGGGTTTTGTGGGTTGGTGCCTTTTTTCACTGTGCGCTGGGCTTTAAAGGTGGTTACTTTGGCGGATAAATGTGTAAAATGCGATTGTAGCGTTGTGGAAGGGTTAAGGATTTCCTCCGCTACTGAAATGTGCACACGATGCCTTAAAGGATTAAGGGTTGGCCTCGCGGCCCCAAGGCTGCCAGAGCTCCAGGAGCGTTTGGACAACGCTCTCGGGGACAGGGGGAGATTGTTGGGGTGTCTGTGCAGGGACAGGGGTTGGACTGATCCTGGTGGGCCCCTTCCAACTCAGCATATCCTGTGATTGTGGACGTTTAAAGAGCAGTGGCTCACTCGAACTCCCTTATGCCCGCACGTGATGAGAACTGCGTTGGTAGGGACATCTGAGAGGGTGATTGATGAATGCCAACGGATCTGAGCTGGGCAAGGGACACTTGTGGGCTGTCTGGGATAGCTGAGGTGCCACGTGGGCCTTTCTGAGCAGCCAAAGGTCACGGGGCTGATCCGGTGATCGAACAGCAGAATTTCAGCTGTAGAAAGTAAAGTACTTCAGTGGTTCTGTTCTGCGTAAAAATACAGGCAGCAGTTATTTCTTGTGTCCTTGTTTGATCAAAGAGCAGAAATTTAGATTGTGTCGAGGGAGACTTTAAAGCTCAGAGTGCTTTGTATTTTACTTTACATCTCTCAAAGAGGTATCTGTAAAAATAACATTCTTTAAAGAAGAAAAGCTAATATGTCTTCTTGTTTTCTGTTTAAGATGCATCAGCTATGCTATTCCTTCTTGTGGCTTCAAAACAGGTAAGTTTTGCTTCTAAAATAGAGAGTTTAAATGAAAAAATACGTGGATTCATGTACAGCAATTAGACTGGAGTACTCTTGCATCAGGGAGTTACAGGATCAGCACTGGTGGTGGTGTCTCCTCAAGCACTTCTTGTTTGGTTACTGAGAAAAGTCACCCCTTTCTTTGTCCTAGGAAAGGATTTGGGAGGCTCCTGTTGTTTCTAAACAGCTGGTCAGCCTGTAACCAGACCACAAGAGTACCCCAGATCCCTTTTTTCCTGCATTACTGCTGCTTCATTATTCACAGCAATAAATAACTTGGAACACGTTGCAGAAAAAGTGTAACTGAGGAGATTGCTGTTGACTGGACTGCAGAGCCTGTGATGGTTTCAGTATAAAGAGTAGTGGACAGAAGTGATTTCTGAAAACTCTGTGCTGAGGCTCTTTTCTGTGCTTGGTGTGGCTGCCAGAGGGGCTCCCAGTTCTACAAACTCCTGAAGCTGTTCTTTCTCTTCCAGATCTGCCACCAAATGCACAGCCTTGATGCCCCTTCACAAGGTAATACATAATTAATGAAAACTCAGCATGAAATTATGCTTAGGGTTTGTCTGGGCAGTGTCTTTTGCTCTGATAACATACGTCAGTGGTCAGACAATTCCCTGAGCCAGGTTTTCCCTCTGGTGCCACAATGATGACACTTATTTGCTACTCTTGACCAAGAGAGTGATGAGCACTTTTACCACCATTACAGTTTTCTGAGGCACAGCAACTTAAGAGTTCCCCTCAATGCTTTGAGTACTGAATATCTTATTCACAAGCTTTTTTCTTCCTCCAGGATTTGACTCCTGCACTCAGCAGACGTGCAGAAGGAACATCACCTGGTGAGAAATGTGTGCTTTATGGTGGGGTTTCTTCCATGGGGTTGTTAAAACACTGCAGCGGGAAGGATGGGATGTGCTTTAAAATTAGTTTCCACTAAGACCAGAAGCAATTTATACTTGCTAGTATTCAAATTTGTGAATGTTTCTTTGTTTTATTGGGAAAACTTAATTGTAAAAGCTGCGACAAGAGGTGATTGCTTGGTAGGATGATTCCAAAGCAGATACAGTGATGATGGCATAGTTCAGCAGAGCATCCTGTGGTGAACACTTCTGTCTTTCGCTCCTATCTGATGTGTCTGCCTTTTGTGATCTCATCAGGAGCTCTGGGCTTGGACACCAAGGCTGAAATAACGTCTTTTTTTTTTTTTTTTTCATTTGTTGCAGGCACTGGGAGATGAGGCTCTAACCTGTGCAAGGTAAACATTGCATTGCCTGTGTCTGTCCAAACTCATTTGGGTCCCTGCTGTGTGAGGGGCTGCTGTGATGACAGCATAGTTCAGCAGATGAGCCGTGATGATCACACTGTCACTGTCTTTCGCTCCTGTCTGATGCAGCCTCCTGTCCTTAGGCTGTTCCAGTCAAATCATGTGGAAAGCTGAGAGGGAAACACTTCCTTTTGATCAGTAAATGTGTTCTGAAAATTGATCCCAGAAAATCAGTGAATGGGATAAACATAAAGTTTAGTGGGATGAATAGAAGGGTATAGAGTAGGCTGTGCTTGTAAATTAAACACAAGTACAGCAGAATAAGGTTAATCAGGTGTTGATGCTCCAACTTCTGAAAGGGTTTTGTTGCTTTACAGATTGCCCTGGACAGAGGAGACCTGTGCCTCTTGTGTGAGAAGCTATTTCATCTGTTACTGATGTTGGTGAAGCCAAGGCCTTCCTAATTGCAGGTAATTAATAAACCATTTTTAGGGTTTATTGGACACTTTTGTCTGCTGCATTTGAGCTTGGGTGTTTGCTTTTGGAGATGTCTGCAAATTCCTTGTGTTTTCTCTGGAAAGCGTGAAGCAAAGTGTGCTTTCAGCTTCCCGTGTTACACTATAAAGCAGGAAGTAATTGTGGTGGTAAAGATTTCTGGAAAGTGCCTGTTAAACCTGAGTGGTGAATACCATAGTACTCTGAATTTAGTGCCCAAAATGCTTATCCTGGCTTAGCATGGCTGGGGTATTAACACGAAGTTGATGTCACTGAACTCCGCACTCCAGAAGTTTGCTCCTTCCTGCAATTTCAGTTGTCTCTGGAGCTGAGGGATAAACTTACTGGGGTGTTGGAGCTTGCTGGGAGCTGACTTTTCTCTGGGAGGGGATGGAGGTGAGGCGACCTCTACTGTAGATGATGTTGAATCAGGTCTCTGATCCCTATGAGGACAAAACTTGACCAAATGCTGATACAGTATTTTATTGGAACTATTCTTATGCTAAAACTTCCTGCTGGACCTTGTCTAATAGGAAATTTTTCTCTGCAGGCTTCCAAAATGTTTCTCCTTGCAAGGTGGGTATTTGATTAACTCTGCAAGTATCAATATTCTAAAATACGCCCAGAAGTGAAGTATTTACCTTCTTGTTACCTGGGGGGAAGAGGCCAGTGGCTGGTGTTGTCTGCTGCTTGCCATCTCAGCCAAAACCGGAGGATGTTTAAAGGGGGAACTGCCTGGATAAGGCCCAGCCTTGGCAGGCTGGTGTGAGCTTCCAGTGAAGAGCTGAGCACAGAGAGTGGCCTTGATGGCACTGCTGGTGGATTTGCAGCCTTGGCCTAGAGCAGGGACTGACAGAGCTGCCTGTGTGATGAGATGTGACTGCCCTGACTCCAGTTGTGGAGGTCTGCCATTAGCTCTATCTGACTGCAGGCACCTGACTGAGTTTCCACCCTCCTCTGCTGCTTTCCGTGCTGTCCTGATAGTTTGCATTATTCCAGGTGCAGTGGAGCTGGGAAGTGGGGCAGTTGGGAGTGCTGCCAGCAAAAGGTAAGTCGCCAGCACATGGATTGGAACTGCTCAGAACTGTGTGATACAGGGGATGGGGAAGTTTCTAGATCCTATAATTGCAGCTGCAGCACCAAGCAGAAGGTTTCTGGAGGATTTTATTACCTTTACCAGGTAAAAACCCCACATATTGGCAGCAGCCTGCAGGGTTCACTCACCCAAGGTGCTTCATATCTCATATTTTAAAACTTTTAAGTGTTTTCTGTAACTGAGAAGAAGTAATAGGGACCATTTGGAATGTCCAACTGCTATGGGCTCCTTGAGTTCCTCGTTAATGAGTGTGTGGTAACCTGGCAGCACAGAGCTTGTGCTCACCAAAGCCAGTAGTTAATTAAGTAGTGGGCTCTTGCAGGGAGTAGCATTAATCTTCAGGGCTTACTGTGGTGAATTATTTTTCTTAAATGCTAGATCAGGGCTTTTGCATGATGTGAATGAAGATGTGGTTGGGGATAAGGTCTGAAATGCTGAGATCGGATCCTCTGAGACAAAAGTGGCACAACATCAAGCTGCTCTAAGCATGTACTGTTTGTGATGAATTCTAAGCAATGGGAATCTCTCTGAAAGAGTCTGAGGACAACTCTTGTGCTGAAACAGTACCCACATTCAAACTAAATCCTGAAGCACTGCCAAGGAGAGAGTGTTAGTAAAATTTCGCTTCTTTACAGGGTGAATCTCGTGGGGAGTTCCTGTGAGAAACAAGGTGGATGTGCCTGAGGAAAGTGTAGAGTACATGGGGGTTTGTAATTCCTGGAATACTGTCTTTGTGCTGAATGCCTAGGTAGTGGTACCTAAAAGGTGTCCTGTAAGAGATCTGATTTGTCTTCCCTTTATTGTATTCTGATTCTCCTGCTCCCATCTACTGTGGGAATAAACATGTGCCTGAAGCAAGAATGCACTTCCGTGTGGTTCTGAATTTGCCATGAAAAGGAAGGGCTGTTTCTGAGCAGGTACCTGAGTGTAGTCAGTGGTAAACTTGGTGTGGAGTTCTGACTGAACAGATGTGGCCTCAATGACTCTAAAAATTGGGAGTTTATTGCAACGTTGCACTGTGTAATTAAAAGAAAAACAACTCTATATTCTCTAGTTGTCACTTCTCAGCAATTTTTGCTGATCTTTATGCTGGCTCTACGCAAATTTAGACTCAAGTTCTAGATATTTGCTGTATGATCTTGTTTCCCAACAGACTGGTTCTAATTTTTAAAGATAGGTTCTTGGGATGATTTCTATGAGACTTGTAATTTGGGTACCTAAACTCATTAAATACAATTTTCCAATGGGGAGAGACAGCATCACAAAGCAAGTAGTAGCTTTGTACTTACCCTGTTTCTTCCAATGTTTGTAATTCTGTATTTCCAATTCAGTTAGGATTTGTAAGCTTTGTGTCTCCTATATTTGGGTGTTGCAAGTTGAACTTGTGAGTTGCCAGCTGAAAGGCAGCCTTCCCCCAGGTGAAATTAGTTTGGTGAATAGGAATTCATAGATAAACAAACTTGTATATAGTGCTGCTGTCTGTTATTCTGAAAGTACCTCTCTCTTCTCAGGAAAGGACTGTGCTGTTTGCAGCCTCACTGGGTAAGTCCAACAGCTGAACTGTATTATATATTATTGGGAATGTTTGTAGCCACTGATGAGATTGATTCTGCCAGATGAATTAGTGTGATTTTACCCTTTCCGTTCCACTTTGTGCTGAGGTTACAGAGCTGATGTGGAGCCTGTACCACTTGTGCTACTGCATGTGCTAATTGTGTTTTCTTCTGGCTTTAGGTGAGGAAGCAACTTTGCAATTACTGTATGAAGAACTGAGAAGGTGAGTGTAACTGCAGTAATTAAGACATTTCTTTGCTGGAACAAGTGATGATAACCTTAGCTTGAACTCTCTCACTGAACAGAGATGAAATTCTAAGGGCTGAGATGTTCCCAGCAAGTGTCTTGTGGTGGTTTGGTGTCTTAAAGTGGTTCTTATGTCTGTCTTACTAGGTGGAGGATTGCAGTATAATGGGCCACACTTGCATGAACAGCATTAAAAAGCCCAAGTGTTTTTTACCCCACTGGTAATGTTTGCCTGACGCTGGTTGGAGCCAATAAAAATCTGCAAACTCTGCCTGTTGTTGTGACCTCCTTTCCGACCGGAACAGCTTGGTGTGAAACAGCTCTAGGCTACTGTATAAAAGCTTCAAATGCTTGATTTAGAGCAGGGACTAAATTAGGTGAAATGCTTGCGAGTGTCTTAACTGGGGTGTCCAGTGCTGCTGGTGTGCAGGCCGCAGCTGGCCTGGCCAATACCAACATTTAGACAAAGGCAAACAATTAAAGGGGTAATTAGTGTGTTGTAGGTGAGAGCTAAACTTACTACTACTTTAATACTAAAATGCCCCCAGTAATCCTGGTATTATGTGTCCAGGTGTGCACAGAACAAGCACACTGCTTGGACTTTTCCACTGGAATTGAGCAAGACAGGATTTGGCCTCCATGAGGGGAAAAAAGTGAAGAGGTGGGGGATTTTGATACTACCAATTAAAAACCAAGTTATTAATAATGAGGCAGGAAAGCCTGCTAAGGTGTTTCTGCTTCCTGAAACTCATTAATGATAGATTTCTATAAAAAATTCATTTTTAAATTCCTCTGTCTCAGGGTTGATGTCAGTATTGGAAAAGTCAGCTCTATGGAGAACTGAATTCTCCATGACACTTGAGCTGTTGCTGTAGCACTTCTAATGAGAAGTAAAACTAGACATCCAAACTTTGGGAAGGATTAGTTTCAGATTATTGGTGTTCCCTAGAACCCCTCAATTAAGAGTAAGCTTGTACTATCTCCCTCCTACTCTACCTGGTACAATCTACTTGAATTTAAATAACATTTTGTAGACAGAGCTTGAGATCATTTTAGCCACAACAGTATTTCATCCTAGAGAAGATGAATTAGACATTCTGTGTCCATGTGCAAATTAAATCTCTTCTGCACTAAAGCAAAAGCCATTAATAAGGTCTGTTTTCATCCAGAGCTGATTAGTAGCCTCTTAATATTCCCCCCACCATGTTACTTTTTAAAATACCACACTTCATTGTGCCTGTTGAAGAGCTTGAAGGGACTGTCATAGCCTGCAGTATAGAAGAAGTCTTCATGGAATGGTTTGCCTCTGTTTCTTAAGGTTCTGGCCAAGACTTCAGCTTCCTCAGCATATTTCTCTGGGGAGGCAAAGCCACCAAAGGACCTGGTAGAAGTGAAAAAGGGGTTTTTTTTTTATTAAGAATTCAAGCCCCTGGTTTTAATTTGCACAGAAGGAGATTTCACGTTTGCAAAGCATACAGTGTTTTAACACTTGTGATGCAATTACTAGTTAAACTAAGGAGAACAAGCTGCTTAAGAGCATATGGCTGTTTATCCTGGTTTTAAAAGCAGGACTTGAAACAGCTAACCACCCAAGTTGATTCTGAGAGTTGGTTGACATACGGCCCAGGTGTTGCTTCGGGTGTATTTGCTGTAATAAAGAACTGCCATGCAGTGTGGGAGTTTGGGGCTATACCGTAAGGGTGCTAGAAGAGTGGTTTGGATGTTTTGTAGCACAAACTCTTAAGATTCTGGAGGCTGCACCTGCATAAAACCCACTGTAATATATTCAAGAGTAGGCTCAAAAAGTAACATTTTGAAACTTGGTCATTTCGTTCTTAATAAGACACCTGAATGTAATATTTCCAAATGCTTGGGTTTGGGCAGTGAAAGCTCTGGACAGCAGGACATATACCCAAGTAAAAATCCTCCAAGAAAGAGTAGCCCACAGCTCAGTGAGGGCACCCAGTGAGCTGGGTTGGTGTGCTGCCAGCGGTGCTGCTTGTGCTCACCGGACAAAGATCGCCGCTGCCTTCCGCTCCTCCACGAACACGTCGGAGTCCATGGGCTGGGGGGGGGAGTCCTGGTGTTCAAAGGGCACAAAAAACGAGATCTTGAAGTCTGTGCAGCCAGATTTCACCAGGCAGGTCACTGGCACAGTCATGTCAATCTTCATTTCTGGAGGAGAGGAAAGACAGTTGTCAAAGCCGCGTTCTCCAGCTCCTCTGTTTTGTACTACTCATCTTCATCACCTTGCCTTTCAGACCCAGCAGATCCTACCTCTCTCATTCTTTCCCTGAATGTAGTGGAAGAGCTTCCAGAAGCCCTGGCGCATGGCTTCCTTCTGGCTTTCCCCCCTGATGACTGTGCTCACCCACTTGGCCGTCTCATACTGACGCAGTTCATAGTCCTTGGCCTGCAAGGGAGCAAAAGTCACAGTAACCAAGAGATGGGTATTAAAGATGACCAAAATTAATAGCTACTGTTTCCAAATCAGCGTGAAAGCATTGTCGCACTTACCATTGTCTCTGTTGAGCTCCACCGAGGGGACTGCAGGTCCAGGGACAGGAATGTTTGCTTGAAGGATTTGATCATCTTGCCAGAGCTGAAAGGCAGACACAGTTCATTGGTGTCTCTTAAATCTGGTATTAATGAGCAGAAAAAGCACTAGGGCTTTCTGCCTAATGGTTCAGTTGTCCTTGAAATGGTGAGAGGCCTGAATTCCTGCTTATCCTCCCCACTGATTCAACAAAAAAGAGCTGAAATCATTTCAGTCCTCAGGAACAGTACCAAGACCAAGAAACTGCCTCTCGGCTGCTGTGGGAGCATTCATCTCTCAGGTTACCCTGCCTTCACTTCTCTGTGACAAAAAGGCGTTTCCTGGCAGCAAAACAGAAGGTGGAAATTCTGCAAGTGGGAGTTTTGTGGAAATCTGTAAGTAAAAAGGACTTGAGGATTTCAGTCTGTTTGCTCCAGGATGAAAAACACTGGTGTTGGTGGGTGCTCTGGTATTGACTTACTGGGCCTCTCATAATGACTTTGCCTAAACTTCAAAGTTAACTTGGCCTTAACTTTATTTGGTGTCTCATAATAGCTGATACCTTTCCTAAAAGCCTTTAGCCTCAGGGCCCTGTGGATAAATGAGATTTTCTGCATTTAGGAATGAATACTTTCTTTCCTTCACACAGGAGGAAAAAGCTGAAAATTTGAAGACACTGTCCCAAAACAAAGCAAGTGAAAATACTCAAAATCGCCCTTGAAATAATCACATCTGATTAAAAGCCTTGAGATTTTTAGGAGCCTTCATTTATGACTTTTGTCATTACCAGGCAGATTGTAGCATGTAACCTATATCCTGACAGTCTCAGCTTTCCTGTTATATCACTGTCCTTTGCACTTCATGTTGCAAAGACAGCATGTAGTTAATTCAGCAATTATCTCACTTCCTAGGTCATAGGACATTGTTTTCTCAGATTATAGCTCAGTTACATGTTTTGTTGGGTAACAGAACATCTTTTCTAAACAACTATGCTACCTAACTACTGTTTCCATCTTCCTGTGACATGTGGAGTACTGTTGAATACCGTTAATCCCCTTTCCATACCCTGCTTTGGAAGAATTCTTTTGGGGAGCTGAGGTTGAAAAGCTTATTAAAAAACCTCAAAACAACAAAACACACCAAAACCAAACTAAACAAACCTTAGAATCTTTAAAATTAAGTTGTGTAGTGCTGTTGAGCTTCTCCCAGCACTCCTTCACTTGTCCCCACAGAGCAAGGGGAGGTCCCAGAATCCCACAGCAGGACACTGATGCCAGCAGTTAAAGGCAGGTCCTGTCCCAGCCTGAAGGTCCCTCATCCTCAGCAGCCCTGACCACAGCGATGGTCACCAGGGGCTGCTGGGCAGTTGTACTCCAGTAGAGTTTTTGTCAGTGGTGTTTACAAAGCATAACGCTGAAAGTTCCTACAGTAATTTCTTTATTGCCGTTTTTAGGGCAAAGATGCTGCTGCTTTGCTGTCACTTTGCTTTCTCTTCGCTACAACATGATAGAAAACACATTGATCCTCTTCATGTGTTCCCTGGGGATGTGAGGAAGCAGAGGAGTAAATGTTTCTTTGTTTTAACACTGGTAGTAGCTACTGGACGAGCTGCCTTCTGTCTACATGCCCATTCCAACCCCTTTCCAACACACCTTTCCTGAACTGCTGGGTAGATCTCAGCTCTGGCTTTGATAATTTTTTGGCTAGTACTGTCAATGCATGTTAGAAATACTTTTTAATTAAATAAAACAATGCTTTGGGGTGGGAGAGACAAACTGAGAAGACTGCTCCAGATGTTTACAGCTGAGTTCATTTTAGATCTACAGGAAAGCTGAGCTTTGAAGTGTCCATCTGTTCATACAAATATGACCGGGGGTGTTCAGGTTTTCCTGCAACTGTTAACACGTGGGCCAGGGGGACAGTCAGTAGGTTACACCACTGCCACAAGTAAGCACAGCCAGAACATGCCATTCCACAAGCCACTAATGCTGTTGAGGAAGAGGGGAAAGCAAACATACTTACATTTTCAGCTGTCTTGTCCTTCTGGCTGTTGCAGTCTGTGCTGCTGAGGCTGCACATCCTCATAAGATGCTGCATGTCAGTGTTTATTTGAGTTTGGGCAAGCTCCTCCCATGCCTCAGCCCTACTGGAGGGGGCTGCTGTTACGAAAACCAGAAGGCTGGAGCCTTGTGCTGCCCTGGGTCTCATTGGAGAACCCCCACGCAGACGCCAGAAGCCCCACCTCCTGCCCACGAGGCAACACTGGGCCAGTGTGTGAGCTGGCTCTGTAAACACTTCTGCACCCTTGTGTAACTTCCCCCGGTTTCCATGGCTGTGTGCGTGCTGGTGTCAGGGTCAGCAGCAGGTTTAGTGCTTTGGAAGAAAGAATTTTGCATAAATAACGTCCCCCTAGACTTGGATTACGGGAGAGTGGGGGCACAGAGTGCCAGCTTTTCCTTTTTCACCCCAGGGGTGAAGGGTAGGTAGGAATCTGGCTGCACACTCCGCTGAGACCATCCTCACGAGATTTTTGCTGGCATGGTATGAAAGGCAGCCAGTGTTCTCTGCTGGCTGGCTGCTCTGAGCGGTATTTGAGGCTAATCAGTCCCCTTAGCCCTTGGATATCTGCACAAAGGGGTTATACAAAGCTATTGTGAAACCCTGCCCTGTTTGTAATACGCACAGCAGGGCCAACACTCTTCATTTAACCAGCTGCAGCTCCAGACAGAGTTGGGTACCAGCACAATAGGGCAGATTAAACTCCACAGTTTGTGTTCTGAGGACACCCCCCAGTTTGTCATGGTTTGTGCAAATTCCTTGCAGCCAAATTCAGATAAGCTCTTGGGGACGTGTGACATCAATAGCGGGGATGACTTTTAGCAGGAAACACACTTGGCTTGCAGGGAACTTCATCGGGATGCTGTGTGATACGCTCCTGTTCTGAAAGGGGGAATAAAACCCAAACCATGCCAAACAGCAATTGTGAACTTATCTCTAAAGCCACAAAGCTCTCCAGAGCCACAGAACAGGGTGGTGTACAGGGAGATTTACTGCTGGAGTGTATTAGAACATGCTGAGGCCTGAAATGCAGAACCAGTTCTCCTCATGCTTTGTACTTTAATTTTATGGAGTAAAATGTTTCTCACTTTCACCTGTGCTCTGCTTGGGTCAAACAGAAACAGCAGCAGGGCCTTTGGAGCAGCAGAATCTGCTACTCCTTGGTCTTTGCTCAGGAGCTACGGGCTTGTGTAAGGTGAGCTGACACCTTCCTCTGTCACCCCAACACTCCTTCAAGCGTGTCCTGGTAATTATTTTCATAGAACGTGGAATCCTGGAATGGTTTGGGTTGGAAGGGACCTTAAAGATCCTCTCTGCCATGGGCAGGGACACCTTCCACTTGACCAGGTTGCTCCAAGCCCCATCCAACCTGGCTTTGGACCCTTCCAGGGATGGAAGTGTTCTTGAACAATACCCAGCCACAACAGTTTGGTAAATCACCACCAGTGTACCCCAGTGGTGAGCGCTGAGGAGAATTACCTTGAAAGGGCAGCAATAACTCTGTAGATAAACACAAGCCCATAGTGGATTCTCATTTCTGAGGCAGAGAGGCCCAGAACAAACCCCCAGTCAGTCTGTGTGTGTCCAGCTGATGTCCCTGACAAAGAGCTGACTGTTCCTGGTGGAGCAGCCCTGGGCTGGAGAACAATCCGCAGTGTTTTCCCCAGGGGTTGTTTTCCAACAGGCTTTGTTTTTCACATATACATTGAGAGAACATGTCAACAGCTGGATGAGACAGCAGGGCAGGCATGAGGACATGTATTCTGTACACAACTATATACATTCCAAAACTAATTAGTGGAGGGAGTGGGATTATGGTGGAAGCTGACACAATCTCACTGGTACCTCCAAACAGGGGAAAATTTGAGTATGCAGCAGTCGTTAAGTCTCAAGGGCTCTGTGACAACTCTGTGTAATGCCATGAATATATGTCTGGGACTTGGCTGGTATTTTCTAGAACAGCTGAGAAAGCAATGCTCTTCTGTACTGCTGCCTTAAGGAGTAGGGATGAGGGCACAAGCACAGAAAAGCACAGGGTTTGCACCTTAATTTTACCGTTTTCATCAGGCACTTCTGTGCAGGAACTGGTAATGAACTGGTACTTCAGAAGCAGCTTTGATGGGAAAAGGAGAAGGGCGAGCCTGTGATATGATCACTTGTGATTTCCACTTTTTCTCTCAGTAACAAGCCCAGACAAGACCTTAAGCAACATTCTCCAGAGCAAAACTGCTTCCATGTGCTCTGTGGCAGCATTACAATCCTGCTGTCACATCTGTGCAGTTGTGTGGCAAGTTACCTTTATCCTTAGAGGCAAGCACAGACTGCTTGCACAAAAAACAGGAATCTTTTCCACTGACCTAATTGCGTCAGGATTGGAGAAACCCAGGGGACAAAGATGTTTTGTTACAGTGTGATTAATGATAACTTTGAGTCTTGTTCTTGTAGCTGCCAGGTCTGTGGTGGGATCCGAAGAGCTGGGGTGTGAGGGACAGAGAGGGAGCGTTGTCCCTTGTCTGGCCACTCACGTGTTCTAACGAGTGGTCTCATCCCAAAGCTCCAGGCAGTTTTGCATTGCTGCCTAAGCCTGTCAGGAAATAGTTGTCATTTAAAGTTTCATTTAAAGGAATTGAGACTCTTCACTTATAAATGGCCTTTGCTTTTGCAGACTCATGCTCATCAGATGATGCAGAAGCCCTCACTTCCCAACAAAGAAGTTGAGCATGTGATGTTACTGTAGTTACTGTCCAGGGCAGCAAAAATGTCCTTATATGTTGTTAGATGAACTGTGGTTTGCTGCAAATTCATCTCCCAAAAGAAGCCTCTTATGTCCTTGCTCTAAAGAGAGAGAAAGCCTCCATTTTACATCTTATTTTCATTTCCAGTATGGAAAATGAAGAAGCATAAGTGTACCATCTTCTAAGGAAGCAGTTGAATGTACTACAGTACTGTTCCAAGGAACGTCCTTATTATCCCTTGTAAAATGTGGAAAGGAGATCTCTGCCATAACTCCAGTGAGGGAGTATTTACACCTTATGCTCTGACCTACACGTTTTATATCAGCACACTGATTTGTTACGGTTGGATTTGCTCTCAGCCAAAACCCATTTGCTTTCTGGAAACCTGCATGTGGATTTTGTCCATGTTTTCCCCCGATTCCAGCTAGTTTGTTACAAATGACACATGAAACTACTGCCTCTCCCTGCTACCTTGAACAGCTGACTCACTGACAGTGTTACCTAACTCTTGCTGAGTGAGTGATTTCTTGCTCACTTCATCAGGGATGGCCTGGAACTGGCTGCTGTTGACCAAATAAAAACCTTCCTACACCCAACACCACTCCAGAGCACTCTTGACTTGGTATTTTCCAAGATTCCTCCACTGGAGATCACATTTTGGAATCATTCTAGGTTTGGGGAGTTAATCTTAAATAAATCCTTCCTTCCAGCTGCCATGCAAAACATTCCAAAACCTTCCTGTCTTCTGTGCATGGAGCCCAGAGAGAAACTTCCTCAGCTTTATATACTGCCTTATTCACTGGCTTCTTTCCAAAATAAGGGATATTTTTAACATGGATCTGTTTAGGGATCTAGCAGCTGAACCCTACATGCAATTAGCTCAGTAAACTTTAGCCAGCATTAATACTTATCTAAATCCACAGAAACTTCCAGTCCTCTCTGAGTGCTGGAAGGAGAGGAATTCACCTTCTAGAAATTCATCCACATTCTGCTATTGGCAGGTTCTTAGAAACAAGACCGTGAAACCAAGTGAATTTGTATATTCAAGACAGGAATATCTCATCCAGGGAAAGAGGTAACAGTGCTTGCTGGGAAAAAGCCTTGACACAAATCTATTGCACTGCTATTTGGGCTTTTTTAAACTGACATTTAACAGTGACTTAAGCCTGAGGTGAACACACCTTCTTTGCAAACAGAGGAGTCCAGCCCTATAGAGTCCCAAGGACCTGAGAACATGTCCAGAGGTGATGGGACCAGGCCTGGAAAGTCAGGATTCGTATCTTAAAGAAAATACTCTCCTAAAATAGTATTTTCCACTTCTCCCAAAAAGACATGAAAAGGTAACTGAAGCTGAGGGTTTGTCTCCTGAGCTGCTTCCTGAGCTTAGTTGCTTGAATATGGATCATGTCAGAACTTCTCCCATCTTCTGACAGTGGAGGTGTTGGTAGTGGGTGTGGGGTTTGGTGGGCACTTTCTTTATTTAGATGATGTGAGTGAGGCCTCCAGAGATGGATTCTGGTCTGAATTCTGGACCAGAACCTAGTCTGTCATCCTTTCCTTTCCCAGGGTGAGCCAGTGCTGGTTCTGCAGCAGGTGGCACTGTTGGTTGTGTCCAGAGGTGAGTTTTACTTTAATATTAATGTCCCTCAAGCTCTCTTGGTTGCCAGTGGTCGCTTCAGCTCAGTACTGGATCCAGTGCACCCTGATAGTTTGTTCTGTTTCCAAAGCCATAAACTTGATTATACTGTTGACTGTTAATGGGAAGGTTAAACATTTAAACATCTTAACGTGTAAAAAATTATCTTTGTGTGTTAAACATCTTTTATGCAGCAAACACACCAGCCTGAAACAGAGAATCACAGAATGGTTTGGGTTGGAAGGGACAAAGAGCTTCTAGTTCCAACCCCCTGCCATGGGCAGGGAATGTCTCTGTAGGACACTTAAGAAAATGCAAAGTTGGGGGGAAAAAACACTTAAACTGGCAAGTTTCCAGGCAGAATCAATAGCGAACCTAACAGTTTAAAACTCAGATGTCTGAGAGGCTAGTATTTCTTTTGATTTTTGCACCTTTTGATTTAGAGCAGAGAAAATGAGGTTGATGTATAATGACATCACACCAATCTTCCCAGATGATGTGCTTCTGAATACCAGCCAGCCAAGATGATATTTAACAGAATTTCATCACTTTCACAGGTATTGTCTTTCTCAATTTTCATTTAGGCTTGGATACTTCTTATTTGTTCTGAAAACAGACTCGAGTCTGTCTTTGGAAGAAAATTACATCTGGATACATTTATTTATTGCAGAAAGAAAGAAGCAAAACTGTAGTTTGATTATGCT